TGGAGAGACAATATGAAGTGTACCCAGAACTTCATCTTGTCATCTTGAGTTTGTGTTCTACCCCAGTGGTTCCCCCAAAGTGGGGGTCGGGACCCCTGGAGGGGCGTCGTGAGAAACCATCCAATGGTTCCACAGTTTGGATAGGCCTATTCATAGGCCTCTTCACTACGTTATTAATCACCATCTGGGACAGTGGGGGTCCCAAGTCTCTGGTACCCTTATTTTAGGGGTCACAAATTGAAAAGTTTGGAAACTCCTGTTCTAGACTGAGACCAAAGTTTATAATCTGATAGATGGCTTCAAAGATGATTTTTTTTTACAAACGGCATGATCATCATCAGGTGGACAAAGCGTGAGTCATGTTTGTGTTCAGTAGATTTTGCATATCTATGACGTGAGATGTTTAACTCTCTTTGCACACATGTGAATTTGTTGAACACAGAGCTGTGTTCTCTGGGTAATCCAATGCAACTGTCCTACGTTATATGGCTTGTATTTACTTGCGTTTTTCACAGAAATAACATCATGTAATAAACATTTGTGGGTTGTGTTTATGTGTTTATTCACAAGAAGGCAAAACTCCAGGAGGTCAGCGGCCTGTCCAGCACCAAACACTCCTGCTGTAGTAATGTGAGCATTTTGATCCCCGGCCGCCTCTGCAGATGGTTCACAGCAGGAATGTTGCAGAGCACCATGGGATCTCGGCGAGTTTAGGGAACACTCTATTTTTAGGAGGTGCAGGAGCTAGGCTTCTTGAAAAGGCATTTGATACAGAACTGTTTGTGTCCTGAGTGGCGGCCTAGGGCTCGTCATTACATGTACCTTAAAAGCTTTTTCATGTTGGAGCATTAGGTACATTTTTTAAGAGGTACTGGAGGAATTTTTCTGGAACATGGCCTTCGGAGGTTCTCATTTTCAATCATAGCTTTATTAAGTTGGAGTGAACTTTGGACAGCGGCCTTGTATGACCTTTGATTCATCATAGGTGACCTTGAGTAATAAGCTATTAGAAAGGTTTGTCTTGGCTCATCATGTCATATACCTCCAGTGTGTAGCAGCATGCCTATGTTTGGGCAGTCGTACATCACATGTGTGCAGGTGGCGAGCTGTCATGGTCAGTGTGCGTTCCCAGAGGCTTCCAGTGGTGTGACTGTACGCAGCACAGACATGCAGCGTTGCATTGCTCAGATAGCTGCCTGCCCGCCTGCAACCTTTGGGACAACGGCCTCAGTCGTGGCCGTCAGCCAGAGAACAGACTCCAGGATGGCTGATTGATGATATGGACAACTGGGGTGGAGAGGACAGGGCACCAGCAGGAGAGGGGGGGAGATAGAAGGGAAGGGGGGGGGACTCTACAAGCTGCTCCGGAGTACACAGTCCCTCTCTGTCCTCAATTGTAAAAAGGAAACTCAGAATTTCCTTGTCACCCATGTCCAACTGAATTATTTCCACTCCATACTTCCTCTACTCAGACTTTCAAATAGCCTTCTTCTTCTATGATTTGCTTCCTTCAGCAGATTTCTTGATGACCACAGAAATGTTGGTGCGTGAGGTCTGAACCTTTGAACTCTACGTGCACATGCTGTAATGTTAAAGTGTTCCAAATGCATGACTGTTAATCTGCACTATTAGCACTTAGCATAGTGCATAAAATAACACCATTGGTTTACTGAATGAATACAGCAGTGCTCCATTTAAGGGAGTGATGAGGCTGCTGGACAGAAATGAGTACAGCTTCCCTCATGTGCATATAGGCAGAAGTAGTATTATAAATTGCAATGTTTAACTCTTAAGACGTAGAATAGACAAAAGGGTCAGCAGCAGGTGTAACCATTTATATCTGTTAAATTAATATCTGCAAGTCGAGGCTAACGCAGTCTCTAATCTCTTAGATGGGGCAAGACAAACTGGGGAAGGATATGTGCTCACTTATTGGACCGGGTTATACAATTAAAAATGGGGTTTAAAAAACCTCATGCCTTGTTTAAAAATGCAGCATTGCCTTTTGTCTATTGTGGCCAAGGCGTAAACCAAGTGGTGACCTCCAATGTGAAAAAAAGAAGCCAATGCTGAATAAAAAAAAAATGGCAGTGTCCACTTGAGGCTGGCTGCAAAATCCCTGGTTGCTAAGAGTCAGGATACGTTTGCATAATTGAGGGGTGGCTGACAGGAGGCTTACAGCCCTCCGGCTCCTTTATTTAAAATCTTTGCCTGTTTCTAGATTAATTTTAAGTTTGATTTTTGGGCTTGTTGGGCCTTAATTGGAGCGATGGGACAGTGGATAGAGTCAGAAATCAGGGAGAGAGAGAGACAAATAAGGAGAAACCGCACTAATGGGTGAAAGCATGGATACTATAGCGGCATGCTCAAGGAGGTTTCCTGAATCTGTGTCGAGAGCTGGAGAGAAATGAAACCTCTGAACAGCCAATCAGAGAGATTCCTCTCACCAACGGTCCAACTAGGACCGACGATCTCCTTGGTGTGTCCGGCCTTAAGGGGGTCACTATTTAAAGATTAATGAAGATGTTAACCCTGATCATGTTGAATTCTTTAACGCCTGAAACACAAGTCATCGCCCTGTCATGAACCCAGAGGAGGACATGAAAGAGCAGCAGTTGAACATGGATTGAGCGTAGCACTCATCGTTCATTTTGTCAGCCAACAGTATTAAATATAAACAGCAAACCGCTCCCCGCTCCCCCTCTCACAGATTATTGGACTCCTATCACACATCCCCACTACGAGCGGCTCGGTTACCGGCAGCCTGAAAGTCTGGGACAACGAGCTGGATTTACATCTGACCCTAAAGATCATCTCCTGTCTCCTCCTCCTCCTCTCCGCCCTCCTCCTCTATTTGCTGTTTGAAGAGGAAGCACAGAGACACTGGATCCCCCCCAACAGGTGCAAGGGTGCAGCAATGCACGCTGGGTCATATCAGGAGGCAGACCCCCCCCCACCCCCGCCCTCCCTCACGACTCTCTGACCACAAATCCCTGCGGCAGACCCTCCTACCAAACCTGTCTCCCTTTGGACTCTTGTCTTTTCCAGATGGTAGCAATCATCTCGGTCTCAGACCTTTTTTACGAGAACTTTAGACTTTCCCCTCCTAAATTCTTCTCTTTATTGGTTCTCAAGCCCACATGGACAACACAAGTAGCTTCAATAAAAACCGCACCTCCGACTGAAAATAGAATCTACATGAGATTGTTCAAAATCCCTTTTCTTGTCTTGATTCAATAAGGAAGTGGGCACATTTTCAAATAAAGCACCAGGTTGTAATCCAGACATGGCTAGAAAGAAACCTGCTCTTTGGATCCTCGTCTCATCCAAAGAAAACTTTGTGTAGAATCGTCTTTCTTTATATTTTGATTGCAGTTGCTGATCTCCGGATTGTTTTCGGTTTCCTCTGCTTTCATTAAAATCCGATTTGAGAATTATACTTTTAAAACTCTTGAGTGAAGTGATCTTCTCAAAGAGATTGGAGGAGATTTTTGAGGGTTTTGTTTGTCTTGGAGACACAGACACACACTCTACACAGCTATAAAATGACTTTGTTCCCACGGCGGCTGAAAGGTGCTTGTAAAACTCAGCGAAGAATGTGTGGCTCCTGTAGTTCTGGATAGACTGGTGGCTGTTTTTACTATCATGGCAAGTATCCCCCATTGCAACAGTTAGCAGATAGGTCAAAGGTCACATATTATGTCAAATCCACTTTATCATGTTTCTAACACTAAAGTCTGCCTACAAACCCCCCAATGATGAGAAAAGTCCATCCTCTTCGTCTTTTGAAAATGTGTGCTCAAACAGGCCGTTTGGAGATTTTCCCTTCATGACATCACAAAGGGCAGTAACCCCTCCCCCAGGTGAGTGACACTCCCACAGCTAGGTGTTTGTTCTGTCCTCTGAGTCTGCCTTCTCATCGTAAACAATATGACATGGAGCGAGAAAGCGTAGAGGCTTGAAGCCGTCTGGTTAAATTCTTGGTTTCATATCGGGGCACTATCTTGTGATTTGCAGAACAAGCTGTTTAGTGCCCCCTGCAGACTTCTCCTGGGATTACTCCAACATACACTTACTTTATGGTCTGAAACTTCTAGTTTGGACATCCAGCATTGTAACACTGTATGTGAGATTTTGACCAGAATGAAAGTCCTGGAGCAGCTCTGTTTGGCTCAGCTATTCTCTCTCTCTCTCTCTCTCTCTCTCTCTCTCTCTCTCTCTCTCTCTCTCTCTCTTATCTCTCTCTCTCTCTCTGTCTGCCCCTCGCTCTTTCTCTACATCAATCTATCCGATGATGTCCCCTTTCCGAGCCCAATTACCGGTAACCATGGAGGGCTGATGAAACCGGTCTGACGACACCAGCGTGTCCTGAGAGCACAAAGGGCCTTCTGTTCATCTGACAGCTCCGTTTGTATTGAAAGCCTGATCAGTATGTTCATGTTCCGTTCTGCCGGGGTTATGATGTAAACACAAACACGTCCTGATGGTAACGTTCAGATGGAGATGTCTTCTGCCTCTCATTGTGTCACTCTGTCTCTCTCTTCTTGCATCATTGAAGACGCCTCAGGGATGATGTCGTCTGGTGTTGACATCATTTTTCTTGGCACAAAAAAACCCACCTTCCTGTGTGGAACAAAGAGAATAAAAGCGAGGAAATTAAGTGGGAACAAGTCAACAATGTGACATTCATGCAGCAGCCGTGTTGATGTGGATTTGTAGGCTCTTTACAAAATGTGTATAACAGTGGCAAGTACCCAAAGCTTGCAGTTTATCATAATATCTCTGTTGTCAGGGGATGTAAACATGCATCATTTAGACAAGATGCTCAATGAACAAGCCTGTGATGCAGCTCCACACAGTGTTCAATGATGGACGCTTCTTTCCCACACTCTTCCCCCCCGACGCCCGTCAAGTGACTGAACGCTCTGAATGTGTGCGATATGAAGTGAATGCTAGAATATTGTCTTCAATCCTATTCTCCCTGTGTGTGTCTCCTGCAGTGTTTCAGCAGCAGGCGGTCCACAGCCCTCTGGAGCAGCAGAAGCAGAAGCAAAAGTCGGGCGGAGGCGGCGGCGGAGGAGGAGGGCCGATCCCCTGTCAGAACTGTGGGAAGCCCTGCAAAGGGGAGGCGCTCCGGGTCCAGAACAAACACTTCCACATCAAGTGCTTCGTCTGTAAAGGTATGTAACGGCCAGTTGTGACCTTTGACCTTAACACGCCCGCTCCACAAGCCACAGCTCTAACAACCTCCGAAAATATAGCGTGTCTGACACAGGAATCTAGGTTGTAAAGCAGAAACACACCCTCCTTGTTTTAGAAATATCTGAAGGTGAGGTGATACTTCTTACTGCAGCAAAACTTGACCATCAAATCTTCACTCATCACCAGATTCTGGTGCCATACATTAATGTTTGGAAGTATGACTTTACTTCACTGTGCCGCTTTCTGAATTTTTGAAGGGATACAATCAATGTTTGTGACTTTCATTTTCTGATAAATATGAGGTCTAGTATGACTGATGGTTCAGCAATAAGAGTAAAGATACTTTGCGTGTGTGTGTGTGTGTGTGTGTGTGTGTGTGTGTGTGTGTGTGTGTGTGGTTGTGTGTGTGTGTGTGTGTGTGTGTGGTTGTGTGTCTATTTTTACTCTGTAGGTGTCACATACTTGAAATGTGTGTGCTTGTGGTAAATCGTGGGATGTGTTTTTTTTTTGTTTTTTTTTTCAACATGTGACTGTATTTGTCGGAGCGTGTGTCAGCGCCCCTCCCAGCTCAGACTCTCAGCACGAAGCCTTGTGTCAGGCTGCTTGTTGTCGTCAACACACTCTGGTTGCTAGGCTACCAGAGGGGTCGCCACAGTGTTGACGGCTTCCCAGAGTTTATCGCCTGTTATCACACACTGACCAGGAGACTCCCTGTCTGTGTGTCCTACACCCCACCCCCCAACCCCCACCCCTCCTCCTCACCCTCCACCTTAAACTCTACGGACGAGGGAGGACTCAGCAGAGGGTGTGCATACCCATGATGCATTAGTGACGATGACTAACGATATGCATGTCCTAATTGCCTTATTTTCACAGTTCAGAGAGTATCTAGTGTAACTTCTCTTTACTTCCCTGAAGAAAACTTTTTCATTTTACAGCAACATAAAATAAAAGCGTACAGAAGTAGTACACAGAACACAGAAGTTTTATAAATATTGGTATTGATTTTATTCTGAGGGGAATTTCACTCTTATGAAACTCCAGTAAATTGCTTCAGTTGACAACAGAGAAACGGGCTCTGATTGTTATTTAAGGTGTCCGACAACATCTATAAAGTGACCCCTCCAGCAGGGGTTTGTCCAGACTTTGTTCCACACCCCTGCCAGACCTTTATAAAGGAAACACCTTTTTTTTTTTACATTGATCTCTTCAAAGCCACAAGACCGCATTGACAAGAACCGTCATTTTACTCTGCAGTAGAAAGACAGGAGTTGCTGTTCCACCGCTGCGTCAACCAGTTACTGAAATGTGCATTATTGTGTCTCTTTGGCTTTGAAACACAATATTTATTTGACACATGATTTTGTTTAAAAAGGAACCCACCGAGGCAGCGGTAGACAAACACATCCCTTTATATTCAAAGTTAAATAACTGTTTTTGTCAATGCGTCTGGTAGCTCTGCAGAGGGAGATGTAAAAGTAGTTTCTGGTTTGATAAAAAGGATAAAGAGCATCCTACTCTTTAAGATATTTCTCTGAGGGAGAAACTGCAGGGATTAAGTCACTGCATGTTTTGCAACCGGCCTGCTGAAATATCTACAGGAGCAATCTCACAACTATAAGTATCTTTTAGTCGCCCCAAATATATTAGCGTCTCTCCTGTGTGTAGAATTTGTATTTAGATCTTTTACCCCCTCCTTATGTCCATCTTAATGCACCGTGGCAGCACCACATGCCAGTTATAACTCCAGACTGTAAATATAAATTGATGAAGTCTGAGTGACGTCAGCCCTCTGCTCCTGCAGGGGGCGCTGGAGTCCCATCGATGGTGGTCTCCATGCTGGAAATGCTGTCTCAGTCTAACTTTCAGTCAACCTAACGACAGGCTGAGAGCTGGAGCTGAGGCAGGTTTTAAACCTCCTGACAAACCGTTACCTGTCAATCATGTCAGCTACCAGGATGTAAACATGTTAAATTCTGCTGTAAAAACTTTTTTTTTTAAAATTGGTGTATATGTGAAATCCGGTGTTCCTGGACCCAGCCTCAAGTGGACACAAGTGGAACTGCAGGATTTTGCACATCTGCATCGGCTTCATTATTCAAGTGCGGAGGTTGCCGCTTGGTTATAACACAGTTTTTTGTTTTTTTTACATTTTCATTGATTGGCTACTCTTAATTTAAGAGCCTTGACTCGTGTAGAATCAGCTCGTGTGGTTTCACATCGTACAGCTTTTAAGGAATGAGACTCTCATGCCTCACTAATCGAGCATGGTTTGTTTTTTCTTTTGGGGCTTTTATGTTTGAAACAGTAAATAGTGATGATTACACGCCTGGAGTCACGCTCGCACATTACTCATCAGAATTAAAAGCTTTAAAGTCATTATTTTGATGAACCTGGTTGTTGTGATTAAAGGGAGAGGGAGCATGTTTTCATGGCTGTTTTGGCTTGTTTTCCAAAGAGCTTCATTAGGAACGCTGTGAGGCTGGCCGTCTTAATGTCAGGCACTCAGGAGGTTTATTAATACCATGCAGAGGCCAAAGTGAGGAGTTATGTGAAGGCGCTGCTCCATCCAACCAGTTCTCATCGTATCTGTTGTCGCCAATTTGAAGTGTGTTAAAGTGTGTGTGTGCTAAGTCAGGTAAACATTGCGTATCAATATTGCTTTTCCTGCTACGTCACACACACGGGGTCGACAAACTGTGTGGCTTCCTCTGATTCCTCAATCCCCAATCACCTGTCACTTCCTGATCTCCCCGCCTGTGGTTGTGATCACCGTCTACACCCAGGTGTGCAGGTGACTTAGCAGCGAAAGCATTGCTTACCTGATTTACCACACACACACACATACACACACACACACTGTAACTCCAAGATTGCTGCATTAAATTTAAATGCATTAAAAAGTAATCTGGGTTACTTATGAGCTGATTTTCCCGACTTTGCAGGTGTTTGTTGGGTAGTTTTTTCTGTTAACTCGACCAGATGTTGACCGAAAAGAATCACAAAGTCAGGAATGGAAATAAAACAGCAGGCTGAATGGGGCTCAGACCTGAACATGAAAGAGATGAACAACGACGTGATTCAGGTTCAGCAGCCAAGTTCAACACGGTGCAGTCCTCACGTAGAAGTTCGTGTTTTCATTCTTTATAGCATGTGTTAATAAATTCAGCCCCTGTTGATCTGCAGACTGTAAACACGCCTCACCTCTGACCGAGTGCACTCGATCTAAGCTGTTAAGATGAACCTGGAAGAGAATCAAGCCCATGGACCCTGACCATATCGCTGTATTAGTGCCAATTACAAGCCTGGGTGTTAGCCAGCAGGCTAACAGAGCCAGGTCTGAAGTGAGGAACTCGTCAATGCTCAGCTAGCCATGTGTGTAATTAACACCGAGCTTAGAGGTGCAGTGGATTAATGTGAGGTAGTGTTAGCCGCTTTAGCATTGGCGTGCTCTTAAGGTAGCTAATAGTAAACACAGCCTCACAACAAGTGCACAGTTTAAAGATCCCATATTCTCCTCATGTTCACCTTTCATGTTGTCTGTGAAATTTATAGAGAAGCTTTTTCTTCCCACCTGTCTACTCTCTTCTGATTGGCCAGCTCTCTGGAAGCCTTCAAGGGGGGCAGAACGCTGCAGAGCTGTCAGGGAAGGGCTGCTCTCCAGTGCTGAAAGAGGGTTGTAACACCATTATTCTTTTTGGAGATACGACAGTTGATAGAGTCAGAAGCCAGGGAGGGAGAGTGAGGAACGACACTTCTTGAGAACACCCGTTTTCAAGGGGACATTTACATGCAAACTCAAATGTGTGATGTGCGAGGAAAATGCTCTCTGACTGGTCTGAATTTCTTGCAGGAAGAATTGTGGAAGGAAACAAAGACTAATTGACTCCTGATTGGCTGTAGCTTTGAATCATTTCACATGGTCTTCATCAGCAGACTAAGACTGACCAGGAGTCATGATATCCAAGACTCCACTCCACACTGCAGCTCCAGGCTTCAGAGCGTCTGATGAGCACTAATTGCTGTTTTCATGGCAGCTTCTGTCAACAGCAGGCTCTGTGGTAGAGGAAGTGTGTTTTATTTTAGGTACCAACTGGGCCTGTCTTTGTGTATCCTGTTATGTCTGCTCCTTTGACGCCTTTAAGCTGACACTGAGACACCATCAATTCTTCAGAGCTGCAGACAAAACGACCTTGCAAAACAACTTAGGCAGACTTCAAACTCTTAATCTGTTTTGTTTTTTTTGTTTTCATGAAGCACAATCACATCATCCAGAAAGCATTTGAATACAGCGGGGAGTACTCAAAGAAGAAAATATGTGGTCACACCCCAATGTTGACAAGCCTGCATGAAAACTGAGAAACGGTGAAAGAGTTTGAACTGTGAAAGAGTCCTTATGTCAGACACTTTGTCATTCACACAATAATCACAACACACCCAACACACTGAGGAGTGTTGTCTTTGATTGAGCTGCTTGGTTTTATTCATAAAGATGGAGACGTCAGCTTGAATTCTTCTCAGTCAAACATGTGAATGAATCTCCTGGAGAAACAATGATGTTTGTCTCAGTAGACAGCGAATCTCTTCTTTCAGACAAGCTTTCACTGACTGTTGGTTTTAGCTTGTGGTTGAGCACTAATGGTTATTCTGGACTCAGAATAGTGTCCAGAAAAGTATCTTCTCAGAGGTCCAAATGGTGGCTGTTTCAAGATTTTAACCACTTCCATTTAAAGGTGTTGCATGGTATCACGTCCAAATGGATGAATTGGCGGGACCTTTCGCTTAATCTATCAGAAAACATCTAGCTGATAAGCTTGATTGCAATGATTTGGTGTAGACTTGATGGACACTCGTTCATATCCATTGGTTATTGACCAATCAACATCCACCTTTGGTCAACTGAGATTCTCCAAACAGCCTGTTTGAGCACACATTTTCTGAAAAGTGGAGCAGGCACATGATGGAGAGGATGGACTTT